CAACATTTCATCTTGTCTTCATTCAGAGGAATGCAGTAGCATGGATAGTTGATGGCGAATTTGGAGGAGACGACTTCTGTTTAACTTAAAATTAGTCGTATTTTAATGGCTTGGGATTTGGTGCAAACAAACATGATTGATAGCTGGACAGACATGCTCGTCATGAAAAAAGAACCATTTCTGAAGCCCGATTGGGGCCAAACATTTACACCTTGCTTCATAGTAACCAGTTGAGATGAAGCACGTCGTTAGAACGTTTTTGGACACCATGTTGAATTATCCCCCCATCGGTTGTGAAGAACTGTGCTACATTCAGGCTTACCCATTGAACTCAGTATATATATTTTTTTCCCTCCTGCCTTTTGTCTGGCAGGATACCATTCTTGTTGCTCTTCTGTGTAATGAAGTTTAAATGCTTGTTTGGAAAACTTTATTTAACAGTTTAGAAGGCTTGATAGGAAGAGTGCATTAGTCTGAAGAGTATACATTGGATAGGAAAGAATTTCCTTCTTTTGTTTCTCCAAATCTTTCCGCCTTATTTAGCTTGAGATCTTTGCAGCTTGGTTCATGGATTCTAGCCTTGCCCGTTGCGCAGTATATACTGATCCAGATGATAAACCAGTGAACTATGTCAAAAGCACTCTCAATATTACATTTGACAAAAAGTTTTGTACTTTTCACATAGCTTGTTGCCCTGTAAAAGGGTTAACAGCACAATTTTTTAAAAATAAATTAAGAAGTATTTATAGGATTAAAGTGAATTCATTTGTATACATTTGGAATCTAAACCAGCTTAAAAACAGTTTCCTGACTTAGATACGCAGTTTAACTGATGCTCTTCCGGAATACCACATGAGACATGGTCAGAAACAGTGCTTGGAATGACATTACACAGGAAATTCAGAGTAATACTTTGAAGGTTTTCCCCCTTTTGTTTTATTCCTGAAGGAACATCAGTACCCAACCTTGAAGAAATTCAAGATTCAAAAAGAGAATTTTAAATATACCATAAGAGATCAGTAGCCAGTTCATTTTCAGTAAAGCTTATTCTAAGTTGTTCTCAACTTGGGAAGTCATTTTGGTGTGATCTAGCAAGACAGTAGAAATTGGCAGATAAAACCACTTTGGAAGTTTATAGTGTAATTGAAATTGTTGGAAGAATTCAGCAGGTTACAAAAACATACTTAAACTGGGATTGAAACCTCATAGTCATTTCCTTAATTGCCCTTAATATTTTGACATATAGGATACATAAATTTAAAGAATATTGCTTCTCAGTCTTTCAGATATTGCCATATTGAACCTCATTCTAAACTGGTGCTGTGGGTAGTCTTTCCCTCTCCCCTCCCCTTTTAGTTAAAGGAAAGATTTCCTTCATGGAAAAGCACTTTTAATTTTGAGAATTTCACACTTAAAATAAGCCAAACGCCTGATGTTCACATTGTGCTTTTAAGCCCCATAACAGCTGAATACAACATAGTCTCCCTTGAAATTCCCTCCCTTTTTCAGTAGAGGATAAATAGGGTGATCACCGCTGTTATGTTGGGGAGAGGAGTGGGAATACCCCCAAAATAAGGTTCTAGTGAAGAAAAGTCTTGTACTAAGTTCCCCTTTAGGCCTAGCCAAGTCTATAATATTACCATGAGTAGACTCCTTCAGGATCCACAAAGAAGAGAAAGGCTTGAATATCAAATTCTTCCATTGTAGGGTGGGGGGTAGGGGATGGCAGCAGGGAGAAAGGGGAAAGTCAGGGAAGGGGAGAAGAAAGAAAAACACATTTGGCCTTAAAACAGCATGCATTCTCCCAAAAAGCCCATAGTAAGAGAAAATGACAGATCGTGGTCAGCAGATTATTTTATCAAATTGGTATGTAAAAGATTTCTTTAAGCTCCATTTTTGCAGAGACCACCACTTAGAGAATCAAAGAATTCCTGTTTTGATACTTCTAAGTTAAAATAACTATATGTTACAATTTATCTGGTATTTCATTTTTCTTAACTAAAATTACTTTTTACTTTAAGCTTGAATAAAAATCTTCATTGGTAACTGTATATAATTAAGTGGCAACTTCTCTTTACCTCAGTACAGTTAAAACCATTCATATTTTAAGTGATTCATGTATACCCTGAAGCCATTAATACACCCCAGTCTCTACAGTAACATCACTAACAAAATGTGGGCATAGAAACTCCACAGCTGTTTACAAATTTGGTTACAGTGTGCTATGGTACATTTGTAACATTCACTGAGATTTGTGCCCATTCAGGGGCAGTTTGGCACTCAGATTCTACTATCTACTTCACCCAGCCACCCCTAGATCTGAGTTTTCAGTGTGCTTCTGAAGTACAGTTAAAAACACTTTAAAAAAGTGGAGTAAAAGTGAGGCACATTTTACAAGAACATAACTCCTATCAGAATGGAGTAGCAACTATGCAAAGGTTTCTGTAGCAGCTAGGCGAGTTTGTTTTCCAGATCTGTCTTAACTGGCAGCTTCCTCTATATACTGGTACTTTGCTGTGCCAATTTGCTGTAAACGTCTGTTTCATACATTTGCCACGCAGTGACTGTGCTAGAAAGGTGATATAGAGAAGAAAGCTAGGATTTTATGGTATGACAACATGATAGCAGGATTTTCTAATCCATAGGTATTAACTGAAAACTTCTGATAGTGCTATAGACTGTATAGTAGGCTTAAGAGTGAGAATACTAGCAAGCCAGCCACAAGATACTAACAAATGTATAATTTGAAAAGTACCAATACTTTTTGCACATAGATCAAAATAGATGGAGAATTTTGGCTCCAAAAATCAGGTTAGTAGGCTCATTTCCATGTGCTTAAAAATGTTTTTGTTATTGTTATACATTGATTAAGGGCTAGAGCAAGTATGAAATTAAATGTCTTTTTCCTCCAAATAATTGGTTTTAATGGTAAAATGTTGGATTTGGGGATTACTGAGATCGGTGTGTGGGTGGTGATGAAGAATTAGAGTGGGAGTTAGTTGGGAGGGATGACAAGCCTCAGTTTTGGTTTTTGTATTTTATTAGTATTCATAACAGCTACATTTCTGTTGTTCTTATTGGCCAGATAAATGTGTTATATTAAACCAGGTAAGTAGTTCAAACAGAGGAAATTTTATTTGCAAATGTCCCTACAGATTGGCCCATTTTATTGGGTGGGAGAAGAAAAAGGGGTTCCCTAACTTTAATTAAAATAGCCTGCCACGGCACTCTAGCCAGGGCAACAGAGTGAGACTCTGTCTCAAAAAAAAAAAAAAAAGCCTGCTAGTCAAAAGATTTAAAAAATCCAATTTTGTCAATATTTTCTTGGTCTGAAAAAACACAAGTAGCATTACATGGTGAGTTTTATTATTAGGAGTGTTCTGCCTCTAGAGTGGCATTCCATGACATTAATAGAAAATCCTTCTTTCCCACCCCTCCCCATCTTGAAATTTTCTTTTTTAGGATGTTGGTTCCTGCAAACAAGAACTGCCCCTATCACCTCTGCCTCACAGTGGGTAAATATATCGTACATCTCTTGAAAGGGAAAACATCCATGTCAGTTTCTTTCACAGCAGAAGAATGGCTGCTTTTGATTGGGGAGGAAAGAAGACATTTTTCTTAATATCCTTTTTGCCCCATCTCTAAAATGTATAAATATTTTGATTGAGTTTTAGTTTAATTTCTTGCTCAGACTCTAGCAGCTCTCCTTTTGGGTTGCTCTCTGAGACATTACTTCCACTTCAGAAACCACATCTGATTTAACAAACTGCTAAGTTTAAAAGAAGAGATGAATTTGCATTTACACTTAAGACACTTTCTAAAAACAGGGTGAACTTAATTGAAATTTTTCAGTGTTAAGCTATTGTTATAGTAGCTGCCCTATAGTTGCAAAACAAAAACTATAAAACCCATCCCGTCTACTTAATCCAGATATCCTGGATTTAACGAAACTAATAGTATAAAAGTGTGTGTGTGTGTGTTGTGTTTGTGTGGGAGAGAGAGTACTTAATTCATAAAAAGTCCTGGAAACGGCTGTTCTAGGTTCTTGTCATTTTTACTAAAGATCTGTCTCATGCACATGTGAAGTGCCCTGAGTTTAAGGTTTGGTTAATACTGGTATATTTTTATAAGATTGATACTGTGTCCCCATCTTTAAACATTTTCATTGTCAGGGTCAATGTGCTCGAACTGAATTGTAACATTTTTAGGCACAGATGGAAAAAATGTTATTGGCTCCTTGAAAATGTATGTGTGTGGCGAGAGGAATAGATCCACAAAAGCATGTATGTACTTACAAACCAAGCTGTAGAGATCAAGAAAAGAACTTAAGTGTTGATCTCAAGATTTCTAAATTGTCAAGATTTACATGGCATTGTGGTGGAACTAGTTAACACTTAGAGCTTTTGGTATGTAATAACTATTTGCTATGGACTGATTAAATGTTTCAAAGGATTGTGTTCTTAAATTTCGGGGGGTTTTGTTTTTTGTTTTTTTAACTGCCTCTCAGATTACATTTAGTAGTTTAAATTTCTTTGCTTTATTATTTCATTAAAGGATAAAAATTTCAGGTGTCTGATATTTATTTTCACTTGTTCTACTAATTATTTACAAAACACCCTTTGCTGACTTTTATTTTATAAATGTGTAGTATATTAAACGTCTTTAAAATTTTGTTCAATTGAAACTTAACTTTGATTTGCTTTACTGGGATTTTTTTTTTTTAATACACCTTTTCCATGTCAGTGCGCAGCACTTAGCCGGTCGTTTGTATTCCTTCTTTCAATCCAATAAACAGAATGAATAACTACTTCTTGGTGTGTTATATCTCTTAATATTCATTAATCTGAGCGTTTTAATAGTACTATTTTTACCTAAAACAATTGGTTTGCTGAATTTTTATTTTTATTTACTTATTTATTTTAGTGATGGAGTCTCATTACATTGCCCAGGCTGGAATGAAGTCTCCTGGGCTCAAGTGATCCTCTGACCTCAGCCTCCTGAGTGAGTAGCTGGAACTACAGGCATTAGCTACCATGCCTGGCTGTGATTTGACTTCCATGTATTTACCCTTGTGCGTGCTATCTAAAGAAGCAATGCTTAGTCTGTTGGGTTATCTTTTTATGGGCCATTGTGCAATCATGGTTAAATTTAGAAAAATTTTAGGAGCATTGCATTTCAAAGGAATTGCATGCCCCATTTTGTTCAAAAATATTATTGATTTGAACTTACTTATGCAGTTAGACATTGGACATGTTGATTAGTAGAGAAAGTGTATTTCCAGTTTGAAATTAAAACCCATTTCATAATGAATAGAATTACATAGCTTTCTAAAGATTTCCTTGGATGTGTTAATGGTTCTCTAAAGTTAACCTTGGAGAAAGCACTGAATGTGTACAAAACTAAGTGTAGAGTTCTGTACAATAAAAGGAAGTTCAAATATGAAAAATTAGTATTTGGCAGCTGACTAATACAGCAGCTCCGCTAATACGGCAGTGGGAAGTTGTGCTGCCGTGGACTGCTCACTGCTTGCAAAGTCATGGCTTGCAGCTTCTGATTAAGAGGCAAGAGAAGGGAGAAGTTTTTCTACTTGTTTTCTGTAAATACAGCTACGCTTTGATGGCAGATTTAGCTAATTTGGTCAGATTATTCATCAACATTTGGAGTCTGATGCCACGTCCCAACACCAGGCATAGATATTTTCCCAGCCTTAACAAATCTCGGAGTACAGAACTGTATTTTAAAACACAACCTAATTCTCTTCCATGTAAGCAAAACAAAAAATGGTATTTAGCTACATCATTTAATGACTTCTACTTGAAATTTTTTCCAGAAAAACTTTAAACTGTTAAGGAAGATTGAACAAACCAAATGATTCCATCATCCTTTCACCACCAAGAATCTGAAGTGTCTATTGCTGGTTTTGTGGCAGTGGGCCCTTTTCCTCAGACTTGATTAGCCTGCTGAAGTTAGCTTGCTGTATATGAAACAATATCCTAATCATGCAGTTACAATTATTAAATCAGCATATAATTATGGCTAACGTGGGAAACAAAAGGACAAATAGCAAATTTTCTTTCTTTTTTTTTTTTTTTTTTTTTTTTGAGACAGAGTCTCCCTCTGTTGCCCTAGCTAGAGTTACCGTTGGGTCAGCCTCGCTCACAGCAACCTCAAACTCCTGGGCTCAGGCAATCCTCCTGCCTCAGTCTCCAGAGTATCTGGGACTACAGGCAGGTGCCACCATGCCCAGCTAATTTTTTCTATTTTTAGTAGAGACCAGGTCTTGCTCTTGCTCAGACTGATCTCGAACAAACTCCTGACCTCAAGTGATCTTCCCGCCTCAGCCACCCAGAGTGCTAGGATTACAGGTGGCCCAAACAGCAAATTTTCAATCAAGCTTTAATTTCTCTTTCTGATGTAAGGATTAGTGGCTTCTTGGGTCACTATGTTAAAGTTGATGGGACTGTATATATGACTCCCTTGTATACAATTTAGGACTTTTTTGTGTTCTGTCACAGCCTCAGGAAAAATACCTAAGACAGCTGGCTATGGTGATAGACCATATCTAGAGTAAAAACTAAGGAATATGCTAAAGGTTCTTCATTCCAAGTCCTCTTGTGTGGCTTTCCCTCCCCCACCCCCACCCCCACCCCCATGTGTCTTGAATATAGTTAAGAAACAGAGCTACACACTGAATTGGAAGTTGTATTCCAAATATTAGTTTCCAAATATTGAATAATTTTCCCTCATCCTACATAGCTGGAAAATACCAGTTTGTGGCCTGAGCATTCAGAAAAGGGATAAAAACTTTCTGAAAGTCCTTTTAAGAGAACAGACAAGCCAGGTAAGGTGTCTCACACCTGTAATCCCAGCACTTGGGAAGCCGAGGCAGGAGGAGTGCTTGAGACCAGCCTGGGCAACACGGCGAGACCCCATCTCCACAAAACATTAGCCCAGCTTGGTGGCACAAGCCTGTAGTCTGAGCTACTTGGGAGGCAGAGGCTGGAGGATAGCTTGAGGCCATGCATTTAAGGCTACAGTGAGCTGTTATCATTACCATTGCCCCCCAGCTTGAGTGACAGAGTGAGACCCTTATCTCTAAATAGAGACAGATGCACTACTGGTAGAAAACAAAGTATCTTTTGGATCTTTATGTTATAGTTTAAAAAGGGAAAGACTAGGCCAGGCACGGTGGCTCACGCCTGTAATCCTAGCTCTCTGGGAGGCTGAGGCGGGTGGATTGTTTGAGCTCAGGAGTTCAAAACCAGCCTGAGCAAGAGCGAGACCCCGTCTCTACTAAAATTAGAAAGAAATTAATTGGACAACTAAAAATATATAGAAAAAATTAGCCGGGCATGGTGGCGCATGCCTGTAGTCCCAGCTACTCGGGAGGCTGAGGCAGTAGGATCGCTTGAGCCCAGGAGTGTGAGGTTGCTGTGACCTAGGCTGACGCCACGGCACTCACTCTAGCCCGGGCAACACAATGAGACTCTGTCTCAAAAAAAATAAAATAAAAAATAAAAAGGGAAAGACTAGATGAACTTGCCTTACTCTTTCCCAGGTAAGTATGTTCAAATGGGCTTTTTTGCTCCATTAATGGATTTGCATGAAAAGACCTTTCCAGTCAGTAAGTTTCTGTTGTCTACAAAAAACATACTAAACAATTAGTTTGGGCCAGCTGTGGTGGCTCACACCTGTACTCCCAACACTTTGGGAGGCTGAGGTGGGAGGATTGCTTGAGGCCAGGAGTTCAAGACACTGTCTCTACAAGAAAAAAAAAATTCTTTTTTAATTAGCTAGGTATGTGGCATGCACCTGTAGTCCTAGCTACTTGAGAGTCTGAGGTGGGAGGATCACTTGAGCCCAGGAGTTCAGGGCTGCAGTGAGCTATGCTTATGCTACTGCAACAGGTTGGT